CCATAGATACCAAGTTTTATGTAAATCCATCAATTTAAAAAAAATTTCGTATACCTCCAAAGATTCGCCAAGTTTTTTGAGGTTAGAAAAAACTCCTGACGTGATGGAGCAAAACGGACATCAGATTCGTGTTCAGCAGCTCAAAATACATGGGGGTAGGGTACTCTGATCCTCGAACCCCGACACTTATTTTTTTTGTGGGGCTGTGTTATCAATTCTATTTTTCTTTAAATAGCTGAAACTAATTATCTGACACTTACTGGACGTCGACTGATAGATTTGCACGTGCTCGCTAACGAGTTATGGTGCAAGTCATATAACGTCCCAACATCGCTGCGGCATGTAACGAAAGAGGATTCTATTGGACTTGCCAGCATTTTTCACATCATTTGCCAATTATGTCAGACGAAATATGAAGTCAACACGTCAAAAATAGAAGAATCGTCAAAATTTTCGAAACCAACATACACAATCAACACCAAAGTTGTTATAGGTTAGTAATCTGTTGGATAGTGTAACATGGATTTTTTTAGCATGATCGATTGAGAAAATTTAATTTTATAGTAGTTACTTGCTATTATAGGAACACTTGAAAGTGGAATTGGAGAAACTCATTTAAATAAGATTTTATCAGCGATAAATGTTCCTGTAATGCACAGTTCTCTTTATAAATGCTGCGAGAGAAAGGCAGGCAAATCCATTGAGTTTCTCGCTAATCAAAGTTGCTTGAAAAATTTGGAGACTGAAAGACCGCTTACGATTGAAAAAGAAAAGTAGGAATAACTTCTCTTTGGCCTATCATTGACAATTGCACATCTTTCTTTTTTTTCATATCTTTCTTCTTTCTTCTCTACCTTTTTACGGGTTTCTTTCTAATTTCTTTTCCCTTTCATCGTTGGTAACTTGATTCATTTGCCTATTTGGTCAGAAGATATGGTAGTATACATAACTGCAAGCTATGATGCCGGATGGCAAAAAAAGGTTCTGGTAGTGTTGTGCCGTTGCTGGATCTAGGGTTCTAGAAAAGATCTAGACACTCGTACTTTTTTTTTTCGTGTGGAAATCCTTTATGGATAACCGGGCCCCCCTCTAGGAAGGGAGTTTACAAAGTGGCCCGGGTTATGTGGGACTGCCCCCCTAATGACGATCGGGTGCGGCCGCTAGCGTTGCGGCCGCTGGGCTTACCGCACTAAAACCACACGGTGACCTGCGCGGTGCTTTGACTTGGGGGCGCGCCCGGGAATTGGCAGAGCCATTACTTCTGGAACGCCCCCCGCACCGGCCCGCCGTTTCACTGGCGGGCCATCGCGCTCCCTCCCCCGGTGACGTGGGGGAGGGCGGACTCCCCCCGCAGGGGGAGTCCACTACTCTCTGGGCGGCAGAGTCGGTCACGAACTCTGCCGTCCGCCTCCGTGGAGGCAGGGCCTGACGGGAATCCCAGCCCGCCAGGCCCAGGCCGCCTCCCCTGTTGACTTTGGAGGAGGGCCATCTCCTTACTGCCGCGGCGGTATTCCGCCCACTAAGCGGGGAGGGGACTTACCCGCGGCTTGCGGGCAGCCCCTCCCCCGCCTGTCAGGGCGGTGGTGTGGGCGGCGGAGTAGGGGGCGGGGCGGGAGCGGGAGCACGGGCGAGTAGCATTCTCGCCCGGCTCCGCGTCATGGGAGGGGCGACTGGGGGAGAGTGCGCCTCCCCGTCAGCTCTTCCTCCGTTTGACCCAGCTCCCACCCCATCCCCCGCGGCCGGTCGGGCAGGCCGGGCCCGGGGAAGTCTTCCCCGAGCCCAGCGCCGTCGCCGCCGCTGCTGTGGCGGGCGGGGAAGGGGTATCTGGCCCC